CCGTAATATCTTTGTTTGTCGATAACAACATATTTTATAATCGTCATGTCTTTTCGTCGACGATAAGCAATTTCTTCATAATCGATGAACCAAACTAAATAGTAAATATCTTGTTTGAATATTTTGTATTTAATATTTTTAAATACAAAATATAATAATAAGTATTTGAAATATACTAGAAATATTTCTTTCTAAAAGTATTTAAATATTTAACAAGTATACGTTTAAGTAAACTGCGAAGTGCGAGAAAGTGACTTGTATGATGAACACCTCTATCAGAACAAGACATTATAGTGTACTTATTGTATATTATTCGGTATAATTGTTTAAGAATGTAAGTACTTATCGTAGAAACTGAAATGAACGACATGATTAAAAATCTACTTAAATTTGAGTCGTTATTAAGATTGTAAACTCTGCATATACACAGTTAGAGCGTTTGTTAATTGGGATGGTAATTAATGAGTAACAGAATTTAGTATTTTAGTGATTTTAACATGTTAAATACATGATTTAATGAAAAACATATTTGTTATCATATCGTGACTAAAAGTTCAAACATTAAAAAATATAGAGTAATTTATTAAGTTTCCTTAACTAAACGCCATAAGTGTAAATTATATACAATATAGGTAATAGATATATGTATACTAAAAATATTCTTATACATTAAAATGATAATAATAATTACAATAATAGATCAATAAAAAATAAATAAAAATATCAAAAATTGCAGACAAATAATTAAAATTATAAACATGCGTGTTGTTATTCATTATTGTGACTCGAATGAGTAAAAAATGTATTTCTTAATTACATACTCTTATGTCTTATACAACCATTATATGTAGATGTAGTATTTATTCAATGGAAGAAGTGTAGAACCCACTACTACATAAAAAGTTAGTAAAAAAAGGTATAAAAAATTAGTTTTGTAGAGAATTATACATTTAGTGTTATAAAAATATTATAATAAATAAATTTAATATAACAAAATATGGATAAACTATATGTTATACATTATTATGAGTTAAGACAAAAAATATATAAGGTAGGAACCTACCATTTTTTCAATAAAACTTAAATTATATAAACGCTTAAAAAGTATATAGATTAAATTAAATTTATGAATACACGATTTCAAAAAATATTAAGAAATTTGTAATCGCTTTCATTTATCAGTGTGAATATATTATGTATACTGTTACGAGCCTATTTTAGTAACAAAACGTATTTATAATAAAAAATCTTTATCTTTATTAATACATATATTATAATATTGATTTTACCGTACAGAACCGTGCTGATTATTGAATCACTCATTTTTCATCCTTATATATTTTTTTCCAAACGACGAATTTCGAAATAGAAATTGGTTGTGTTTGTTTTACACTACACATACTATTATTCATGCACAATATAGTTTTAAATTTTTTCTTYAAAAAAATTTTAATTTTTCAGTTGTCACGTGGAAAGGAATTTAATATAAACATCTATACACGATATACGATATATTGGTTGATTACGACTTTTGGCAATAGATACTAGATAGGTAGCTATTAACGTTCCGTGTAGACAGGCTGGCGACGAGACGAACGTTATGGATTAGGTACGTCTATCCCGTTACGATATAATATTATTGTTAACACGATTTGTTTACAAYATACCTAATTATAGTAATATTATGTAAATGTCGTGTAGAAATAATATAGTATAATGCAATAGATAGACGTTCAAGGTTTTCGTCAAAATATCGAATTGTTATACAACACAGTCAACATGATATCATAATATATTTATATCAAATATTAAAAATTATCCTTTAAATGCTCTTCACGATCGATTGGTTTTTGATATACCGGTATTTTTAACAACTTGACCCCCCCTTCCCTTGAATTTCGAGTGAACGAAAGTAAATTGTATTATTGGGATGCTTGTTATTATCATTGCGTTTTTTTCTCCGTTGATGTTGGCGAGGTGATATTTCGGCGGCTGCGACAACACCGGCTGAACACATAGCAGAGCATTTTTTTGGTCGTCCACGCCATCAATACGACCACGAACGACACCAGCAACAGGACGTCCAACAACATGTACTGGAACCAATAAAGGTCGTTGGCAGCCGTCCGTAGGTGTTTCGCACCGTTATGCCTGGCAACGTACTCAACCCAAAACACAGCCTTTTGCAGCGGTGGTAGCGGGTTATCCCTGAACATAGCTGACGACTTTTTGGAATTTTCTCGGTACCTGTGATTTCGAATAAATTGTAGGTAAGATATTACACTTTAATCATAATATTTTTATATACAAAACTATAAATTATAGGAACGAATGTTTAATAATTACTTTATTGATTTTTAAATATTCAATTTCGTGTAGGCACCTACTAATTAGTACCTATATTGGCTATATTATTATACTATACAGTCGGTTGTGGAATTATTATACGCACATTATTGTATGCTCACTCATTCGATTCATTTTTAAAAATCCTCAAAATCATATTACAGAAGAACTTCGATTATCCAAACCTTCGTTTTATGAGTCATCTAATATATCCAAGCGTTATTTCGTTTCAATTTATGTAATATCCGAAACGTTCTTTAATTCGAATGTCGATGCGTATAAAATATCAGGACGTACCCCCCCCCCTTCCGGTCGCATTTTATTAGGGTGTTGCAGCAATTCGTCAAATAGAAATTGATCAGTTTGTAAAATAGATACATAACAATAAGTATATAATATTTAGTAATATTTTTATATTTGAATTAGTAGTATAACACAAATACACAATATTATGTCATATTATGTAATGTGTAAGTACGTATAATATATAGTACGTATATATTATGATAAGTGTGTATAATAAGTTGATAATAATAATTTTGTATTCATTGTACAAACAATATTATTTTTAAATTTTCATCATCMGAACTTTCGTCAATGCAAACACGGTGTGGTCTCGATTAGTTCGGATAATCAAGGTTCAACTGTATTATCACTATTATCACATCTACAGGCTAAAGCTATGAATATAAATGCATATTATTGAAAATACACCAACACAAAAAAATACGAGTAAGTTTTTCATTATCTATGTTTAAATGTTTTCTTCAACTAAAGCAGCAGAAAAATAAAATAGAACGCTTATCTATTAATAATCTAAATACTATTTGTGACGAATTTCCATTCTATTATGCCACCATAGGTAGATATTTTTTTTATCACACTTTCAACCCAAAACTTTACTTAACCAAAAGCACAATAAATTGTTAGACATTTGAATCATTCAAGTCAATCGTGTATGTCTAGAACATTAAAAAAAAATCAAACAATTAATGTTAAATTAAACARAATTGGAACGACGAGTGATAAATGAGACACATCGCGCGACGACGTGACAGCAGTATATCGATATTAATTTCATAATGGTTGGTGGTTACAATCATGGGGACAAGACTTCTGATAAAGTCGATATAGATGTACCTACCTATAAATGATAAATGGCAATGACGTGTGATGGCATAAATGATTAATCACAATAATGAGCATGTTGTAATATTATTATATTTGATTATTCATATTATATATTTTATAGTTATAAGAGTATTCGCGATAGATCTATAGAGTTTGAAATATGTTGTGGGGATTAATTCTCTCCTCTTTGTGTTTTTACGTCTGAAGTTRGTAAARTTTTACAAATTAAATAAATATTAAATAACACATACAATATATTTAATAAGACGACAGTGTCGCGGAGGCATTTCAAATTCAAATATTTTTTTATRTAGGTACTTTTGTTTTGTTTGTACATGGAAAACGTAAAATGTATGCCATAAAACATTATGTTAATATTTTTGATAAATTATTATACTTTGCCCTAGCTAATAAATGATTATATGTAATAATTTAATAAATTACATCGTCTTGGACTCTCAAAATAATATAGGTATGTTTGAAACTGTCAAAGATATATTTAAGAATTTTTACACTGTACTCACGTCGGATCGATGAGGAGCTTGTGTAGAGCACTTCCAAATGCCTCGTGCGTCAATTCGAAGTACGGAACTTGTATAGCTATGCCTTGATACTGTGCACGTAGTGAGTTACCCTGTTGATCTCCAAAAACAGGTATGGCCAACATTGGCACTCCGTGGTAGATGGATTCAGTGGTACTTTGTATTCCACCGTGAGTGATAAATAATTTGCAGTTTTTATGACCTAAACAAAAAATGTATTATTCAGACGGAATACAGTTTTCTGAAAATAGTAAATTCTATATATATATATAGCACATATATATTATAATAATTATCTCTATTATATTTTATTACATATTATTTTGACACAGCATTATGATAAAAGGTGAATAATATAATATTTAAACAATTTATACGTTGTCTTCATAATTTGGAAACTATCTCTAAACACTTCCTTATTTTCAACTTTTTRCGTAACTTAAAATTATGAAAAATAATCATTGATAATTATATGAAATGTACACAATAATTTATTTTTGTGTTCACAAATCGRCGTTCATTGTATTGTAAAGTTTCCACCTGCAGTAGTGCAGTACCACTAGTGATTACGTGATTATACGTGCATGGTGCATATTATCTACTTTCCGGTGTTAAAGTCTATTGGAACCATTATTTCTCTCCTTCAAATACACTACACAATCATTTAAATGTTATTTTGTGTWATAAAAAATATAGTTTATCTAAATTCATATTAACAAAGWAAAAAATAATACAATGCATTAAAAATTATTAAGCACAAGCGTATTCTAAACATCAAATGTTTTTTTTTAATAATTTATGTGTGGACTATTTTTTAATACATTCATTTTTTGTTGCTATAGTTTATTAAATGTATATATCAATACATAATTTGCAGTCATTAATTAATGTGTATCCATAAATATAACATACATTGTTTGTAAACTCGAATTTATATATTATACTTTATTTATTATTTGTCAAAAGTCAAAACGCAATAATTTATATTAGTAATTAGTTATTACTAATAAGTAGAGCCCGGATTTCTATGCAATTGCATATTTTTTTCCTTTTAATATTTTTGGATTGTTGTCAGTTAGGTAGTCAGTACACACAAATTCAATTCAGATTTTAAGACGGTACTTATCAATTTATTTTGGATAGTTTAAATAGTAAAATAAATAATTAATATTTAAAATGAATTCATAATAATATATTTAAAATTGTCAATTCAATTAACATAAAAAATCCTAAAATTTGGCGAACACGATTTTTTTCATTRTTAAAAAAGGCATTTATTAAATTTATTAAGAGCATATATTCAATAAATAAGTTTTTATTTGAAGCAAATTAGTTTTACCAATGTTTATGTACAACCTATCTACAAAGTATTAAATAATAAAATTCCACAATGACTTATTTCTGTTAAAACTAATCCTTCCCTCTATTTTTGTTGATGTATTTGCAATGAATAATATGTTGTATAAAATCAGAAATCAGAATATATATCCTACTTACCTAATACATACGAGGTTTGACAAGCAGTTATATTAATATTAATACACATACCTAGAATATCGTTTTGGGGAAACCATTTTCGAACGATGACATTTTTTGGTAGTTGTGGTATGTCATCAGYCTCCCATTTCCACAGGACGGTCTGTTCGATTTTCGAGAATTCCGACAGTAATAACGACACTGTTTCCTTGGGCATTTTGGATGATTTTACCACCGATCCCAAACTGAAGTAAACTATACCTTCCTTAGCACTTTCCATTATTTGCTTTAAGTCCTGTAATGAGCACCAAAAAATAAGACATACATTTTCAATGGTGCAAAAAAATAATCCAGGTGGAACTATATACCATAAWTGACGTGTAGCCAAAAACAGACACACAACATTAAACACAGCTGACGTCGCTGACAGAACCTCACAAACYTTGGGTAGTATTTACCGAAATCAGAACCTCATAATTTAGTTTTTATATATTTTTTTTWAATCAAACACTGAATAMCTTAGAAAATAAGTACTAGATAATTTACGACAAAAACTTAAAGATTTTAGTTAATAGGATGGATATTGGACAAAATCAGGATAAAAATAAATGCTAGAAAGTCGATTTATGCATGCTGTGCTTAGGCTATACACTATAATAATATGATGGTATAATAATTACTTCGGGCAACGGTCCGGCGGGCACGCAGTGCATGCCTGCCACATACACGAAGCTGGGTACCATTGGCACGGCTGAACCGATGACCGGGTGGCTGTTTACCAATGTCAGCGATACGTTTCTGAGCATGTCAATGAGATCGGGACGGCGCTCGTGGCCCGGGTACACAAAGTGTTTGTCGGCCACGGCCCGTTGCCGTGGCAGGTACACTAGCCGGGAGACGGCCGTGTAGAAAAACGCGGATATTGCGTTTGTGGTGCGCTGCGCGAACGTCATGTTGGATCCGAATGCACTGGTCAAGTCCGGAATGTACGCTGGGTTGTACGGGTTGCTGTGCCACTGTGAAATCCTGGAATTGGCTGAGAATGGCAGCAGCTGTACCACCGGGGCATTGTATTTGTGCCCGATGGTCACGAAACACTCGTGGTAGAAGTTCTCGAACAGCACCAAATCAAAAGATGACCGGTCAGTTCTTATGAAATTCGCCACTGACGGTTTATCCAGACTTGTCTCGCTGATGTGTGGCCCGAACCACCACAAGTGCAATGGCGTGGGCACGAGGTTCACGTATTTCGCCACTTTTAGCATGTCAAAATCTTGAAAAAAAAAAAAAACAAAAAATAATCACTCGTTGTAAACATAAAGGTTGCTGAATTTTTGTCATTATAATACATTAACWAATAAAATTCTATTTTGATAAAATTTCCCAGCTCACCTATCATGGTCACYATGACTCACCATAACACAGAATATACTCTACCAGTGTCCAGTGTCAAAAATTATTTTAATTTTCATGCTACCAAAATACTTAATTAATATTTTATTCAATGAAATGCCCAACCTATTCTATTTAAGTTATTACTCATTTTTATTCTTTTTCTTTTTAAAAACTCACTATTTTTGATTCTGAATCTACTTATTAGGTACCTACTATTTGTTATACATTGAACACYACATAGATTGTTGTATGCCATCAAATAAATAAATAAACAATTAAATAATTTCCCGAAAAGTGTTTTACCAACTTGTGTTTGTGTTTTGGGGAAATAAAAATCATAAACACACGGCTGTAAAATATAATATACAATATCGAGATTTTTAAAATTACCTCCTAACGTTTGCTCCACTTTGACGTGACGATACGGCCGTTTAGCGCCATCCAGTGCAAATGGTGCCACAAGTGTGACATTATGCCCTCTGGAAACGAGAGTTTCGAGTAATGGTTTAAAGCCCATGAAATGACTTTTACCTTCAGTTGGCAAAAATGCCAATATATTCAATGGTTTCACCTGTTGTAGTTTATGTTCATCGCTAGATGATTTTTCCGCAAACAATAACAACAAAGTTAACAAMACCAATAGTTGCATCTGAAAATTAAGAGGAAATACAAATAAAAGTAAATATTCACCAAAGTAAAATTATACTGAGATTTATTCCGTACACAAAAACGATATATTGCAGCATGGGTGATGTTTATTTCTAATGGTAGGGATACAGTTATTTATTATATACGAACACACTACATACCTACACGTATAAAATTATATTATGCAATTATTTTTTACAAAAACAAAATTATTACGATAAATGTATTTATAATTGTTATTCATTATTATTAATTCAGCATTAATTATGATTCATTAATATATTTTTTTCGAATTTCTTGTTAATTTTAAATACAATACTACACATCAAAACAACAAAATATTTCTTTGAAATCTATTTCATAGAAATCTAAATTTCTGTTTCTTTTACTTGTTACTTTTATCGTTAATGCATTTGCATAACTGCATGAGCAATGTTTCAATGCTTATGTGATTTTGGTTCACTTTTAAAATAAAAATATTTTGAATATTAGGTACTTATAATAAAATATATTATTAGGTACTGCGAAGTTTCAATAACACGAATTTTTTTTTTTGCCTTTTTATAAGTTTCTAAGTTGTGTTTTGAGGTATAGAACTACATAAGTCAAAATTATTCTTATCCCACCTGAGATTCAAGCTATCGAACCTCTACTATATAATTCATTGTAGGTATAATTCAAAAGATAATTGTTCTATGAAATAATACACATATAATACTAGCCACGAGGTATAAAAATGGTATAATAATATAATATAAAATACAAAACTTTTTTTTTTTTTTTCATTACTATATTATAGTGTATTATTATATAAAATTAATATATTGTAAAACCACTAAAACCTTACAAAATTTTCAAAAATCAGAGTACAAGTGTTAATACGTATGATACGGGCAAATGGGCAATGTAGGAAGTTGGGCACTGTGCACAATGCCCGATTTTCAAGGGCAAAGTTGGAATAGGTTAACATTACTCGCGGGAATTGTATACAGTGCCTAATTAGATTTGAGCACTGTARATTAAATGTATTAAAAATTAAATGAAACATCTTAGAGTGTACTTAAAAAAGTTGTTTTTCACTGTCTTTATCACTTCCAACAATATTTCGTCTTTTTCGATTAGGTATGTTGTCGATGATAGCTCCATCGCTTAGAGCTTTTTATATGTCTTCCTCCGACTTTAAAGTAGAGATACAAAATACGAACACAGATAATGTTCTTATCTTTAAATTTTATAAGAGGCTAATTCACTTTGATTTTTAAACTAACAGCTAAACGTGAATATAATATAATATAATATAATTATAGTTGAAAAACGACTTTAGAACGAAAAAATCAGTTGGTATCAAGCTATTCCGTTGTAAAGAGGTTTTACGGTACTCACTAGAACCTTTAACGTAAAAATATATAATACGATTAAGTTGAAATATGTGTAATTAGTATTTTTTAGAATATTTTAAATAGCACCATATTTCCTCAAAAAATATTATGAAACAATAACAAGRTAATATTTTTTATTTATTTTTATTTTTAAAAGAAATTTACAATCTATACCTTAGGCACAACGAGTAAATGTGAAACAGAATATATATAAGGTATCAAAACAATTAATTTTAATAATAAAAAGAGTTTTCAATAAATTATATAGTACATGTTACGTTTGATGAGAGCAGCCACCCAAATGACACTCTCGAAACAAGATAATATAGGCATTTTAATTTGCTGGATGGTATCACGAACACTTGTTAGTCGCAGCTTCACAAGTTTTAAAACATGAATTAGCTTGAAATAGTGTGTAGGCACGCGTAATAAATATCATGAATACATTTATATACATTTTTTATATCATTTGTTAAAGGTACACCTATATCTACATATTTTCAGAAGTATATTTAGAATTTATTTTAATTATCTATTATTAAATAATATTAAATTGTATAAGCAATGACATTTTATTACTTTTGTTATAATAATATACTTACAGTATTACAGAATGCTGTTGAAAGTGCAAACGTTCTCATCGTTCGTCTGGAGTTCTAAACAACAACACGAGATTAACGAAACTACGGACGACAGCCAGTTAAAATAACCGATGTAATACTGATCTAACAACTTAAAGCAGTCTCTGAATGACCGTCATGTTGCGTAACGGCGGCTATAATATAATATGGTAATAACTAACAACGGTGGGAGTAAGAATCTCAATAAATACGCGCGCATATTATTTTATACTATTATTATTATTATTACAGAATAGAATTTGTTATTAAAAACCATCAACTGTTCGATAACGCTTACAATTCTATTTTAGATTGATTCAATGTACAAATTATTGTGCAGCAAAGTAATAAACTGCAAGACATCTTTAATTTAATACAGAATAATATAAAAATCTAATGTACCATCTGTATCAATACAATKCCCATAAATATTTGAATAATTTTATGAACGCTCAAATACTCATTAATTTTAGAAAAGTGCAATTTTTTTACTAAAAACAAATAAATAATTCATTAATTATATGAAATAATAAAAAATATAAACGTTTAGATTTAGATAGTAGATGATTTTTGTATGTGTTTTAAAATGTGTGAATGTATTAAATTTCTTTTATTTGAATTGTGTCTTATTTATGTTCAAATAAATGCAAAAAGTAACGTTATCGCATAATTGAAAATTAAGAATGTACCCAAACTATAAACTATCAAGATAAAAATTCCTAATCAACTGTTAATTTTTATTGATGAAAATGTATGGTTGAATTTTTTTAGGTGGCATAAAAATTGCTGTAAAATGTTATGGCYAGAGCTAAAGTATTATAGCACTTACATTACCAAAGTGTTATAATATTAACTAAAAATATCTTTAAATATTTGCTACACCTAATATGTCTTAAAAGCATTGTTTTCTTTTTAAAAGATAATAATATTATAAAATTTCAATAAAATTAAGATATTGATTGAATGTAATAAAATAATATTATTTATTTTTCATTATTTCTGAGTAGTTATCATTATAACTTTGTCTACAGTTTTCATTCAAATAATAATAATATGTATGAAAAATACAAAATTAAATTAATTAAATGCATATTACAGTAAATAAAAAGCACTGAACTGAGAAAAAAGTATTAAAAATCTAAAATTCTCAAGATACGCAAGAATATATACAAAATATATACAATATATACAATGCAATATATTATATTTAGAATCCTCGATGTATAAACCAAAAGTATTGCTTACCGCTTACCTTGCTATTTTTATATATATTCGCTAATAATTGGCAAATCCGATTTAGTTCATCCGAATCCCCGATTATGGCGATAAACGACTTAAGTAGGTATATCTATATTAATATATTATTATCTAGGTATATATTGTAATTTCAGTATTTTTAGTTGAAAATTAATACTTATTTGATAAGACTTTATAAGCACGAAATAATTACAATACTGGTATGCTTATCACTTTATATATATATATTTATTTATTTTTTATTTTTTAATATTTATGCCCTCGAAAACATGGTCTATTGGGCTTATAGAGAGAAAATAATAAATTACATAATATATTGCATACTATATTTTATGTATATTATATTTTAGTTATCACAATATATAAAATGATGTAGCCATTTAGTTACCGCATATATATATAAGTATAATATAATAAACTTATTAATACTAAAATAATCTGTATAGTGCTATAGATAGGTTATACCTTATACCATATACCTTAAGTCAATATTATATAAGTATAAATTGTAGTCGTAGTGACGTAGTGTACTAGTGTGGTACTATTCTATTGTTTCAATCGTTATATAGTTTTCAATATTTGTACTGAAAATATTCATAGTGACAAGAAAAAGTTCCAAAGTACTCCGGTAGATCTCACTACATAACTATATAAGTTTAAYATATCTTTGTGCTCTATCGATACGATTTTGAAAAATTAGAATATATATTTATATTAATATATATCTATATATTTATATAGCATAGGTATATCCGTATATATATATATTAATTTTCGCAAGGCTAGAGTTCCATAGATGTTCGTTCAAATCTAATTTCACCACAGATATGTAAAACATAATAAAATATTATTATCCTGTGTGTTTCACCAAAGTTTTTTCACATCACGAATAGTTATATTATGTATATGCACTTGTGGAAGGCGACGTTATAATTGTTCGATTGAAAATCGACTTTCGACGAAAACGATCGCCGTTGTCGTATTGTCATAAATCGAAAGATTGAATGTGGGGGGAGGGGGTATCTGATGTAGTGTGACACTGTGGCTACTGACTAAAATAGTGACTACACCGTCACCGTGTCATATAGGTACAGTTGAATATTATATAATTTATAGGTATCCAATGTGTTACCAAATATCAACAATATTTGTTAACTGTTTTCCTGCTCACATAMCTACACTTGCATACATATTTACTTTCTTACTTATTGAATATACGAAATTACGAACATCGAACACGACATGATAAAGTGCGCTGTCGCTGTGAACACTTTGCTTGATCATCGGAGTTGCCTGCAGGTCAACGTGAGTATTGTTCTCATGAACTGAGATTAATCTTAGTTCTTGATTGTATCAATGCATATTTTGTAAACCAAGCATTGAAATGATAAAGAGGCCAACGACGATGGCTGGAATTATGGAACCTTACTACAGAGCTCGGGGACTGATGCGTTCGAAAAGTTTTCAGATATTTTATCGGCGAAATCTAGTGAGATTCTAAACAATCCAGAATGGCCCCGGACTTAATACTCTGACCATGGTAGACTTGATAGAGGCGACCGTCGACCAAATTGTTTACTCGTGGCGACCGGGTAACCGAAATATTTTCAATYGGTTAGTCAGCATTTCAGAAGCCATCATGTTTTATGAATTCTAGAAATTTCTTACAGAATTAAAACATGAAAACATTTGTTGAATTTTTATTTTAAATATTAGCTGGTTATACAGTGGAGTGATTTCCAGTTTATCTTTTTTAAACCTATAAATTATAAATTTATAATAATAACACAGGTACTACACTAGCAACATGTAGTAATTTATTTTATATTTTTTATTTTAATCTCTTCTAGAAATAGTCAATAAATTACTTTAATTWACATTGTGTGTTTTATCATAATTATTTTTTCTGTTTATTAGTCAATTTATATTTTATTTTGTTATTTCTAATTATTTTAAATTATATTATACATTATTGTTATTTATACAAATATATTGCGAATTGGACATTTGTCTGCAGTCCTTATGAATTAATAAATAGATAAATAATAATAAATTGATAATATTGGTTCAATATTTTATAYTTATCGATAAATTTACAGAAAAATGAGTGCTACCATTAATTAAACTATGAGGCGTAAAAAAATATCGTTATGAAGGCAAGTAGAAAAATCTTATAGCATTAAAATTTAAAATATAACATGAAAATCGATCAACCGATTGAGATAAAGTATACCGAATATATAAAATCGATGTACAAGAKATATATATATTATAAATTATAATGATGAATACGTTTTACATAAATACAAGGAATACCAATTACCTATGCTATAATATAAAGATCAAACATTATTCGAAGCATGGCACAAAGAACAATATATTTCCTCTCTATGGTTCTATAATTGAATTACATTCATTATTATATGTGTGTGTATATATTACAAAATACGAAAATTCATCGATCGTTGTTATTTTTTATATATTTATAATCTATATATTAGGTATACACAAATACAATACATACTTACATAATTATATATATATATATTATATACGTAACATATTATATGCTCATTATTTTTTATTTAAATTTGATTTAACGTTGAACTGGACATATTTAGTGCAAACCAAGTCAAACTGCTGACAGTTATATTACGCTGTAAAAGTTGACATGTAAGAATAAAAATCTACTTTGGAAATTAACAACAATCGTCATTCGTCAWTTAGTCAAGATGAACTCTACTGTGAAAAAAATAAAAATATACGAGAGTAAAAAAAAAAAAAATAATAATTTTTACATAGAAGGCCATCATAAGGTAATCGATAACATATTATTCAATTATTGTACCTATCTATTCCTATACCTACCTACTTATTAATTTATATTGTAATAAAGATGGTTGTTGTACATTTCACGACGTGATTTAAACAATTAACTGTCAAAATGAGAAGTGAAATAATAAACTAATAAATTGCTATGTATACAAACTACTTAAAATAACATCATTAGCATGTTACTAATCATGATAAAACATGAATAACTAACTTAATTAACTAATATTGTTTTTATTTTAGTTTTACCAGTTAAAATAAATTATAAAAGAATTAAGTGACAGAAATTCAAAAAAAAAATAATCTCCTTAGCATCCATAGCTACCACCTATGACCTATCGTGACGTAATTTTACAATTTAAATTTTAAATTTTGTTTAAATTAAAGAATTTATATTTTACCTTAGTCGGGAAAAAATAAAAATACATTATTAGAGCAAGCAGGCCAGCCTTTAGTTTTTATCAACCCAGAAAATATAATTTTGTGCTAATTGAATAACTTTTTGTTACCGCATTGAGCCGGCCTGAGAGTAAGCATTTAGCATACATAATTTTTGCACGCTATTATCTATAAATTGTATAGTAATTATATTAGTATTTCTGAATCTTCTGCAAATACACTTAAAAGAACTTAAAAATGAATATTGAATATAATACATTTGGTATTTTCAAATTCTGATTTTTAAGTCATATCGAATTGCTTACTTGATTTAGGTATATTTCGTATCCAAAACATAGGATCAATACCATTTCTTATTCGTAGTGGATTTTGTGGCTGTATAAGATATAAACTGTAGGTATAAAAAATGTATTTTTCATAGAGAAAGAAATATATCTAGACTAGATAATCTAGTATTAAAGCAATTCATTGTATTTCCGATACCAAAACGACGTATAACCAGTAACCACTGCATATACGGGAATTAAAAGGGGGCAACGGGTGGTACTTCACAGCAACTATAAAGACAATAAAGTATATAATTATATAATATACATTATTATATATATATATAAACTACAATATACATTTATATCATGCATACAGGTAAACTGTAGTACATGAATATAATGTACAGTATATTGTATTTTGTATATTTTGTCATATTATAGTATTTTAGTAAYTGTATTGTTTTTAATTTTTCAAGGCCTAGCCGATACACGTTCACGTAATCATGTATAATATTATCGAGCCACCACCGCAACGATTATCACGCACTATTCCCAATGGAATACGCACGCACACGAACTTATATATTATACGCGTACACGCAGGTTTATGGTATAAACCTATATAGTAAATATATATATATATATATTATATGGATTTTAGGGACCTGTTAGGAAAAGCGGAGGTAAATAATGATAATAACGACGACGACGACGACGGTACACAATTGGCACGCTGAGGATAAGGGGATAGGTTGTGCTGGATGGTGGGTACTGGGTAGTTGTCGGTGGTTGGAGTACGGGTGGGAGACGTGTAAATAGTGATCGGAGTATCGGACCACCGCTCGGTGGCGGGGTCGGCAACACGGAGGGTTTCATTCAAAGTGCGACGCGTGGGCGTCGCGACAGACCCCTATAAAACCTCACCCTGGCCGGGCGGACCGTGACAGTTCCAGAACAAACGCCGAGCACACGACACGTCGCCTCTGGYGCTATCACGATACCAAGAAGGAAAGAGTACTTATACGGCAACTAGAAGAGACTAAAATATTTACGAGAAAAATACGAAATAAATAAAATAGCCAACAAGTGAACCGTAAGTAATTCTTACTAGTAATATAATACTACTGTAGGTACATTTTACTCTGTATACATACTATTTTTATAGTACCTATTTAAACATATTTCAATACTAAATGAGGTTCCTTTAACATTTTTACCGTTTTTATGAAGCCATATGTCATTGCTTTTGTATTTCCCGAGTCAGTACTGGATAGGCCTAATATAAAATATTATAATTGAGCTCTATAGTTTGCCCCGTTATGCAAGTAACCATGTCTGATTATAATTAAGGATAAAATAAAATAAAATAATATTATAAAATATAATATATGCTTGAATTATTATTATATTTGTTTATTTATTTTTAACATAATTTATATTTTATAATGTAAAATAAAAATAAAGTGTACAATAATATTAAACCAATAATAATATTTTAATAAAACGCGGGCTTGGAATCAAACGATTTTTTTTTAGTTAAGCGTTTTGAAAGGTAAAGACATTTTTTAATTTTTAAAAATTTTATACTTCAAGCGTGGTTTTAAAATACTCAGGACCAAAAATCCACGAAATTCCATTTAGTCAATGTAATTTTAAGTATTTCACAATAAATTCCTTTTAAGTAAATACTAAAAATATTAAATAAATTTAAATTTTGAAAATAACAATATTAATATTAGGTGCATGACAATTATTGAATAATTGCATAGTACATATTCTTATTTCCAATGACACTTTTATTTTTATTTCACAACAATTATTTGGTATATTATTAGATAGAACTTTTTGTTTTATCAATAAATTAAAAAAACAAAATGTCTTATCGGTATATAAAGCGCTGTGTTTGGTTATGAGTCGTATTTAAATATTAATTATGTTTCATATTAATTTTAAGTATATATTATTTATAAACTGTAATTTAAACTATTGCAACAACACTTGAAAGTGTTGTATCCACGATCAATTAATAATGAATTAAAAGTTACTTTGATATTAATATTCTAATAAAAATAAAACATTTGTTAAAAATTCTTGAACATTGTACCTATGTATTGCTATATTTTTTTATAAATAAACAAAAATTAAATTTCTTATTAAAATGTAATTTATGTTATCATTAAAAAACTTCTTTATAAACATTATAGGTTTTCAACATTTTTTTGAACTGAAAAAAATGTTAAAATTACCATTTTGTATTAATCAGTGCCAACAGTATGTTCAATATAAATTAAACTTTTTGCAAATATATAAGTATTATATTTCATTTTAAGTTCTATATAGATTAAAGTTTACTTTACACATCCTGAAAATATTTTGATAACGAACACCTATAATGAAATTAAATCTTACTAAACTAACAACTGTATTAAAAAACATTTAGAATCAATTTTCAGATTTTCAATAATCGAAAGTAAATATTTCAATAAGATTAAAATATTATTCATATTATATTAACTTTACGAAACCTAAACATTTGAAATTATTATAAACATCCTAAATATAATAATATATTATGTACTAGTATAATACACACATATGCATTATGTTTTTATGATAATGGATAGTAGCCAGTAGGTACAATACTTTTAATAAAACGTTCGATTAATTCAGTTAGGTACCTAAGTGTGCACCGCAGTTGGATGATGATAACGAATTTTATGTGATCATTAATTTTTTTTTTTTTGGTATTACAGATGAACTTATCGACTGCCATAAACGTGGCTTTCATGGTGATAGTGGCCGCATGCCTAACTTGGCCTGCCACGGCCCAGGTGTACAACATGAACCGGTATGGCAAACAACAGTTGACCCAAAAACAGTATCGATACGGAAACCCGACATGGGCAAATGGAGCTAACCGGGCCGGTAGTTGGGCGTCATCGCCATACGGCAACATGATGAGACATTATCCGGTGTCGATGGCTCGATACGGAGCGATAATGGGCGGCGGGAGACAAACACTGTCGCCGGACGACTATTATGATAGTGAAGCTAGAGGATCAGTCACGTACGACCCCAGTCCCAGACGGTACGACCGGTTAGACTACGCTGTAGTCAGGTATCCGAGTTACGGTGTTGGTTATGGTGGTTACGGTGGTTACAGTTATTATCCGGTGACCAGTCTATCTTCATCGGGTGGCGGCGGCGGTGTTGTTTTTGACGACGATCTGTTGTATGACGACGATGACGATGACCGTGATCGCGACCGCGATGATGACAATGACGACGATGTGTTGTTTGGGGATCGAACCAGTCAAATGGTTGCGGCAAGGTATCCTATGACGGACAAGATACACAATTTCCGGAAGGTGTTCATGTCGAACCTAGTGTCTCCATCAAACGCGTTCAAATCACCCAAAGAACGGCAGCTATACGACTTTTGGGAATCCTTAATCAATGGCGATTTGGATGAAATGCAGCAAACGGATGATACTATTGGACAACAGCATCTAGACCGAGATCGGCAACAGAATCAGTCACCACTTGACTTCGGATCCTCCWCTTCGTTGCTCTATCAACACCTGCCACCAATATTTCTCAAGCTGCAGCAACAGCAGAAACAGAAGCTACAAAACCAACAGCACCTRTTGAAGCAGCACTACAAGTCGGTTGATGAGCAGACACCGCCACCGCCACTGGTTCCGGCTTCGTCATCATACTTGCCGTCGTCGTCACCACTGCAGACCGTATCACGTGGTAATTTCTACAAACAGTGGGCGAACGGATCGCCATTAATCAAGAGGTCTTCGGATGGTGGAGTTCAGCAGACCATATTATCACCGTCATCATCATCATCTTTGGACAACGATGACGTTCGGCAGTTGCGAGAGCTAAAATCTAACAACGGTACCACCAATGCGACAACAATGACTACGTCGACGACTACAACCACTTCCACAGTCAACGGAATGAGTACCGCGGCAGCGCCATCGCTACCTATGGCGGACGGAGGACAGAGAGAGTTCGTGCTGCCCAGACCGGCGGGCGAGAAGTCAGATTTAGAGAATCTGTTGGAAGTGATCGCCGAAGGTGGTCTTCGTGGAAATTATGGCCATAACAGCAATGTGAGTATACACTATACACTTAACATTCAATAATCATAAAAATCCCGCTGTGCGTGAATGTTGGTTAACACCGGTACAGTGAGTCAATGGTATTACTTATAATGTCATTACTGCAGTTTTCCATTTTCACCACGATAGGCAGCCGCGCGTTTGAGTACCTACTCTCTACCCAAAAGCAATTTACGATTTTTTTTTCTGCTGTCACCATTTGCCAATATTGTAATAGGCATTAAATTAATATTAGTGTTATTATAGGATACAATTCTGTAAATATTGAAATGAATTTATTATTTTATTACATAATTTACATTCGAATAATTAAGTCATATTTAGATAACAACAGATATTAATGTATGTCTATAGGAAATATGAGGATATACTATAAATAAGGTACCTTATGTTTTATTTAAACAGTCGGTACTATATATAACGTATCGCTAAGGTCTAATATTAAAATTTTAAATATATGATATAAAAAAGAATAAATGATATTATATCATATTATATTTATGTTTAGTTGATTAGAATTCTTCGTAGATGTTATACATACGAGAAATAATCTAAATAAAAATAATATATAATGAGGTGAATCCAAGCTAGAACTTTTGTACTATACTGATTTTTAACTAAACCTATTAAATACTATTAAAAATGAAAATATAATTGACAATAATTTATTGAAAAATAAGGATCAAGAAAAATAATAATTGTGATTAATAAAGCTATAGATTACAACATTATCGCGTGTTTAGAACGCACACMTTACACTCCGGAAATCACAAATATTCATCTGTTTAGTACCTATATCATATAGGCTAAATCCAACAAGTAAGTGTATTGCGGTAAACGGTTAACATAAAATGTCCGCTGCGTTTAATTTATTTTGTTGGAACATGCAAGTGGATCGACAATCAACATTATTTTTTAACTGTAAATTAAAAATATTAAAATAGCAATTGGACTGAGTTCGAGAGTTGTTAGTTAATAACTAATATAGTTAGTGCTAAATTATTGTTAATGGTACACTATACAATAACGTATAAAACTTTGTTGTTAAACGATTTTAGTATAATTACACTCAACATAGCCGGTCATTTTCCGAGAAAGAACTTCATACGTTGAAAAAACGCACGAGAGTATGCAAAGTTTCARTTTTTTTACGTAGTTTGTGAGTTATTAATGAAATGTATAACTACTAATCGATAATATTAATGTTCCATAGCCTTTCTAGTTTAATATTCACCATTACAGTGGGTTAAATTAATATATCAATAGTACATTGTTTAACGCCAATCAAAAGTTTTAGAAATTAGAAATATATGCAAGTATGGTCCAAATAGAAAAGTAGAATAGTTATGTATTTTGAAACTAACAATAAGATACAAGCGGAAGCATAATATGTTCTCGTATTTTTTAGAAACACATAATAGTAGATAGGTACTTTGTATATTCACATCGACGTCTCACACTCACACCATGTATTACATATGTCATATACTAGGTATCACCTAATCGTATATGCTTGTACCGTATAATATACGGTTTGCAAGTTTTAATAATGTCCCTACCGGGAGTAGTTAAAATTGCATCACAGGATAGCTTTGTGTTCAAGTAACGCATTATAATAGAAAACATTTATTATTAGGGCCCCTAGACATCTATAAATTAAARTTGTGTCAATGGAGGAAAATCGAAAAATTCGTTAGATTTAGATTTCCATCATGTAAAAATCCGTTGTACTATATTTGATATATCTACTATAGACATACCACTTACAATTAGTAGATTACCTTAATTTAGGGTACCATTAGTCAGATAGTACCTATCTAAATATTATATTACAATAATATAGTAAAAAAAATTTAACTTCAATTTATTTCAAAGTCGAATAAGAACTATAAAATGTTTGCATCAATACCTACCAATATTTACCAAACACTCTAGTGATTGGAAATAGATTATGGAAAGACCATGTGCATTTGAAACTTAAAATCACATTATCATACTTTATACATGATATATTTAGAAGGTCATTAATACAATTGACTTAAATACCATTACAGTGATCGCCGCTTATTATAATCATGGCTAATATTATAAATCATATATTACTATCGAAAAATATAAGTACATGCTGTAYTACGTAGGTACATATTTTAATTTTAATTTAGAATTCAGTCGCTTCATGTTATCCATGTTGTCCAGTGCCGAAGTGATAACTTTAAGTAAGCGGCGACCACTGTATTTAGCTAATAATATTGAAAATTTATATAGAAATAAGGTGTTCTTAATAATTATTATATCGTGAATATTTCATACGTATAATGGACTAAAAAATCTTTTTAAATGATAGTGATAAAATTATACAAATAATAAAAATAAAAACGTATTATTTACACATTATAAAGTTAAAACGGAGTATGTTGTGTTTAATTTAGTTTTTGTAGATATTTGTTAAGTTCTCTTGTAGTGCAGAAAAATATTTACCAAATCGAAAGTCCCATTATAGAAACCTACTTAGATACATATATATAGATAAATTCATCTCTCGAGGTGATTAACAAGGAAAGGGTCAYTTACCTTAATATAGTAGGTAATTAATCAGTTACTGTGGTAAAGATACATACATTACATTAAACGATCCTTCAACAATATAAATTAACCACGTAACTTCTAAATAAGAAATGTAAGACATTCAATTAAATTTTTTTTTTAAAGCTCTTTAAACAACCTCGTATTTAATATGCACTATACAAAATATTGTATCGTGTCACATAGATAAAATACGCAACTGTATTGTAGGTAAATACAAACTTTATCCAATATTTTGTCATTTTTATGTTATTCTATTTTGTACCGACAATAATGTTAGAGTTTATTTTTATTTTCTAATGCGACTAGTATGGCTACAAAATTCAAGATCACAATAAAATATTATGGTTGTTGGACATTGGTTAGTAACCCGTACCTACGTTGTTCTATGTTAGGGAAACGTTCAAGCATTGACGATTTCATTATGAGAATACCGTAGTTAATTTTAAAATTAAACTTTTTTTATTACTCCAACCCACATATGTTTCTGTACTATGTACTTTCAGTATAATCTACCAATGGTTTGACATCGGTTTATTTTCTTTTTTATGACGGTACCTTATACATTGAACACTATACAGTACGTAKACTATGTACCATATACACAAATAACAACAAATATCTTAACTTCGTGTAAGATATTATAGTGCGTTTATAAACAGYTTAAAACTAGAAAAAAAATTATYGATTTAAATTTTAACGGTGGAATATGTAATAAAATTTATTAAACGTAGAATTTGAAATGAATCAGTGCCTGAATATTTTTATTGGATTTTTCTATCTTGTGATTTAAAATATATTGTCAAATTTTACATTATTTTTGATTTATTTAAAGATTATATTTTATATATTTTCTTCAACGTTATAATGTTAAAATCAGAAACTCATATACTTTACCACTTTACTGTACCTA